TCTCTGGGAGCTTTTCCTTGGCGATCGGGAGGAGCAGGCTAGAAAAGCTCTCAGTAGAGACCCCGAGAGTGTTCAACGCTCTTGTGTGAGCGGCCAGGTGGTCGACCAGGGATCTGAGCGCCCTCAGGTCGTTTGACCGGACTGCCGGCAGGTTCAGGAGCTCTTTCATGAGCGTCTCTCGGCGGACATCATCCTGGTCGAACCTGTCCCTCAGAGCGGCCACAGCTTCAGCATAGCCGTCTTCGGATACAGGTATACCCTGGATGGCTCGGAGGGCAATACCGGCCAGATGCGATTTTAATACGACGAACCTTTGAACGTCGGCGTATCCGGGGTTGTTGTGGACAGCAATGGCGAAAAGCTCCCAAAATTCCGACCATTTCATCAGGTCGCCGCTAAAAACTGGGATTTTGACCGACAGAGAGGACTTCATATCGGCGCTCCCCACCAAGCCTTTTGGTTCAGGCCTAGCCTTAGCCTCATCAACTTTCTCGACACGGGAGAGGACGCGCGAGCCAAGGAAGATTTCATCTTCTAGTGCCTGGACATGGCTCGTTCCGTCAGTCTGTCCCGCTTTGTCCAACTGAGGCTGAACAGCCATCATTTCCTTCAGCAGTCTGTCACCGTGGTGAAGTTTCAAAGCGAGCTGATCCTGGTCAATTTTGCTGAGATCTTCCTGTCGGATGGCTTTGATCTCATTGCAAAGCTTAGTGGCTTTAGTGCGATGCCTGGTTCTGGTTGCTAACAGTTCTTCCATGATTAAAGGGATGTTAAGGCAACAAGGTAAGCTTCAAAATTCAATAGTAATGGCAATTGGACCACAGGTAAAGTTACATCCGGCCCGCGGAGGACTATGTTGCGTTTTCTGGCTAAACTAGTAGTGGACTGTATTTGAACCGCCGAAATTAAAAGTGATTCTTCACATGGGGGACTTGCGTCCAACCCACATTGCTTGCTTCAACTCCAGCAAATGAAAAATGTCCTCTCTCCTCCGCTGTATTGGGGATCATATACCACAAATCAAACCAGTGACTTAAAATGCAAATGCGAGCCCTCTTATTCCCCTTAAGAACACAACCCGAGTCTGAGGGACTTTTGGGGAGGGCAAAGGATTATAGGAGAGTAAGGCGGGCCAGCTAGCCAACGCTCATACTTAGAGGAGGGAAGGATCTGGGGTAATTCCGCCGCTGAGTCAGTGCCAGCCCACACCTAAAGGAGACAGAGCGTCCAGCCTTCGTTGGTGAGGGGCAGCGACCGACTCTCCACTGCTCCGACCGGTGACCCGACCTCGGCTCCGCTGAGCGCCCGAGGCGGCCGCCCGGCCGGCATTCACCGGCGCCCCGGAGCCGCTCGCCCGCGCCCCAGCCGCCCCGAATCACCGCGGTGGGCGGCGCACAGCGGGCGGTGGGCGGCGGGCAGCGCAGAGGAGGGGAGAGAGGGACCCGTGAGAATGATACAGCGCCACACGTATCATTTCCAATTCAAAGTTTTTTCTTTGAGCTGCTCATTGAACTGATTTCATAGCTGAACTGACAAGAATGAACAATATGTTAAATCGCGATACGTAAAATCGCAATAAAATACATTGCGTTTTTCATCGATTTGCTCTTTCACTCGAACCGAAAATCAAGAACATAACAACACTGACCAGCCGTTACGTCAGGGCATGTTCGGAGGCGAATCCTATTACACGAATTACTTCACCTCTCGCTTCGTGATAGCTCATATCATGAAACAATAGCTCTAAAAGTATATCAGTCTTGGCGACGCGATGGGCATGCGATGCTGCGCCGGCCGGACTTTCCGCCGCGTTTCGGCGTGTTCCGCAGCACACGCAGGTGATGCGGCACAGTCTACCAGGCCAGGCTGGCTGTCCAGCGCTGCCCGTTCTACCAGGCTGGCCGGCCGGCCACCAGTAGGGGAGAGTGGGGCAATGGCGACACCATAAGCATTTTGCTCAATAGCTTAGCTATTTGAAGATATTTTATGGTGATTTTGACTGTGGTTATAGCCAAAGGACTAGGCTTTCAGATAACACCCAGTTTTAGTATCTCAGATCACTGATGACAGATTCAGAGCCTACGCGAAAATGTGGTGAAAAATGGAGGTGCAAAAAAGCGAGGGGTAATGCCGGCCACTAAGTGCAATAGCACAAAAGTCGAAATATCGTCACTGGTATTCATCCGTAAACCGTTCTTTCGATGGAAATTTAAGTGAGAATTAAGAAACGACAACTGTATTCAGCAGTTAACAGTGCACTGCACTGCAACACAACACTGCACTCGCTGCAACGCAACAGCGCGGCGCCAACAGAGCAGCAAACTAACACAACCGTAAACAGCAAGCAAACTAACACAGCCGTAAACACAGCAACCCGAAACGTTGAGCTTTAACGACAGAAGTCGCAAACAAAACCGCGCGGAGTCATTCCAGACACGTGTCCGGTATTACCCCGAGGTCAGCTTTATTTTAAGAAAGCAGGCAGCAGTCAAAGGCATTGCGTCGCAAACGCCTGACACCAGCAGTCGCCTAAGAAAGGCTTAATTGAAGGTCATTGCAAAGCAGCACTTCTGAAAATGCGTTAACACATTTCACAGTCAGCAAATAGATGCAACAAAAATTAAAAATCAGATACGAAAAACACATTTAACGCTATAAAAATGAAAATAATGGAGCTACCGTGACAAACTTGCACCACGTGCTAGAATGGCGCTCAACTGAAATGTAAACAACATCAGCTGATTAGTGATGGACAAAGTACTCACTAGAGATGGGTGGCCGGCATTACCCACCGTCCGCCATTGCCCCGCTCTCCCCTAGTGCTTGGTGCTTTCTGCCCATTTCATTTCACGCATCTGTGTCCACTGTGTCCAGTATCCACTGTGTCCAGTATCCAGACTCCAGTGTACACTGTGTCCAGTGACGATGGTCGCTAGGTAGGAAGGACCTTATTTCGCATCATCTGTACAGTCTGTCTTAAAAGTACCGCGCAAAGTGACGGTGGATCCATCAAGCCTGACCGAGGAAGGGCCTGCTTTAATTTGAGAATCACCAAACCAATTGACACCCTCATCGATCCCCAGGTCAATTGGTTCACTGATTCTCAAAATATAGCAGGCCCTTCCTCGGTCAGGCTTGATGGATCCATCGCACTGATGCGTGGTACTTTCAAGACTGACTGAAGGACGGTGGTAGGCATGATATGGACAGAGAGTTCGGGCAGCAGGCGCAGGCTGCTACAAATGATACATATTTTGAGCTGTCGGACTGTTTCCATGACGTAGTGACTCACGACGTTTTCGTTGAATCCTTGAGATGGATTCATATCGGTTAGCTAGCTCACAACTAACCAACATGACATAACTATGCAAGTTTTCCTGGTCAAGCGAGTTTTAATGCCTATTTTCACATATTTCATCACAACATACATGGCTCGTCACTCACGATCCACTTTGGTAAACAATTCACAATGTAATATCTAATTGATTTTAGAATAAGTTATTAGGTATAATGGACTATCGAGATAATGGACAATAGATGAATAATTGACATAATAAATGGATATAATGGATAAATCGAGCAAACCGATTGCCAAAATTCTGACAGATCTTCATGCATTTTGTATTTGTGCAATATTTTCTATGATCTATACCATAGGTATATGCTGGAGCCACCCGTGTGGTTGAAGTTGAAAATGAAAAATATCAAATATTTTATGAGCATGGAAGTAGGGCTGCACCTTAAAAAAGAACTTTTCAAAGAAGAGTTGATTTAAATTGCAGTTTGCACAAAAAAGCACTTTTTTTTTTGCAAAATAAAACAACTCACAGCTTTGCCCTGAACTTGCCCACACTTATTCGCTATCACTTACCTTTGACCCGTAATCCAGCGTATCCAGAAGCAGCCAATCCTCATTCAGTTCTGGATCCAGCTGCCGAGTCCAGGTCCTGGAGTTCCAGTCGCCGAGTCCAGGTCCTGGCCTGGAGTTCCAGCCGCCAATTCCAGTTCCAGCTGCAACGTCTCCCCGCTCCGTGGCCGGCCCGCTGAAATCTCCCTCACATGTCCGATGTCTCCGCGACGAGCGTCGTTACCGGCAGTCCGTCATCAATTACCCCATCGACGCCATCGCCCGTCAGCGGCCAATCAGCGTCCGGGAGGCAGCCGCTCGACCAATCAGCGTTTGCGCGAGTCGGTCGGCCCCGCCCCCCGTTACGACCGTCATCGACTGAGAGCCCGCTCGGCGGTGGGCAAACGGGGCCAATAACAGCATTTCGCGGCCAATCAGCCGGTGGAGATTGGATATTACAGACGCTGTTAGACCAATATCGCGGCGGGAGACGTACCGATGATCTCGGGGAGTTGCGGCAACAGAAGCAATCACAGGTGATGACTGACCACCGGGCGCGTATCCGCCTCCCCGCCACCGCCGCCCCGTCCCCCCTCAGAACGTCGGTGTCAGCCGCCTGAGCTGCCCGTGCGGCGTAGATGTGAAGGAGGGTCTGCTGCGTCCAGGCACTGAGATGAGCGCTGCAGGAGTGTCTCCACCGCTGTCCAGAGCTTAGGAGAGGGAAATAAGTTACTCGATTTATAAAATGGCTAAATCACCTTTTAACGTATTTGTTACTGCCCTTGCCGACCTCTCCTTGCATTTTGTTTGCCAATACCGTCACTAGCAAAAAATCAAGCATGATTTTCAGGTATACGTCTAGGTATGCCTTTTTACGATAGAGAACGCAAACAAAGAGGCATGAATTTCCAACATATGCGAATTACGAACCATAGATCCTTTTCTCATGCCAGTAGAAGTATGTACCTTTTTGGTTTTCAACGGAAATCGTGAGAAAAAAACCTTAAACGTCCAAATAAAACATACGGATGCTAACCCTGGTAGTCATAAATTCTTTTTTAAGAATCGAAGTACTTTTTGCCAAAAATGCACGTGCATGTGCATAGCAAGACGCACGTGAGCCAATGGCAATCAAATTCTGAAGCGAGGGAAGTATTGAACTGTTGAATAATTGTTTGATAGCTGGGTGCATCATTGGCAAAGAAGTGCGTAGAATGCTACATTGTCTCTCAAGAAACTTATCTTGCATTCAGTATGCAACTTGATTGCCATTTCCAAATATGTCTATTATTTCTCGCATAATACATTTCACGATAGGGAAGTTCAACTTCTTTTGTAGCATATTCTGTCCTTGCTTCTTTGCAATTCTCTATAGCGGACCCGATGAATATGTCGTCATCAAGAAGATATTCAGCTTCTTTTTCGGCTGTGCCGTCGGCATCGGAGTCTACTTCGCCGCCTTCGACAACCACTTCGAGGAGTTTGCCCGCTTCCTGATGGGCTCCACGTTCACGCTGGTGTGCGGCGTCGGCTTCACGGCGTCCACCCAGTTCCGCTGCATGGCCATGCTGTGCGTACCAGAGTTCTGCGGCAACTCGGGCCGCACTGTGCTCAGGACGTTCGTCTTCACGCTGATGCTGTCCGGGCCGCTGCAGAACATGTCGCACAATGTGGACGAGGTGGTGCGCTGTCTCAAGTGTATCATGGATATGATACAGGAGGTGATGATCGGCTACCTGAAGCTGTTTGCCATGCCGGTGGCTTCCATCATGACCGACCTCTCGTTCGGCATGAACAAGCTGAAGTCCATCTCACAGCTAGTGCCGAAGGCGGCCAAGCCTCTGGTGAGCTCGATGGAGGACACGGGCATGCTGCCTCAGCTGGAGGAGGATGCCGCCTACGCCGACTCCACTGTCGACGCCTTCCCTCGCACGGACCAGCTCACTGAGAAGTACAAGGCGCCTAAGAACGAGACGCCAAAGGAGAAGGTCGAACGCGAGTTCGATCACAAACTAGAGGCCATGTGCAACGATGTCTTCACCACCGGCATCTTGACGTGCCGTAAGACGATGAAGCAGAAGTACAACGACTGCTGGGAGAAGACCAGTCCTCTGATCGCCTGGGCCTTCTGCCTCATGTTTAAGCTGGAGTTCATCTGCTCCATGGCAAAAGTTGTGGATCCCTCTTCCAAATGTGACCTTGCCGGAGCTGGACAGAAAGCGGGCTTTGGTGAAGTGTATCTCGGTGCAAAAGACGCGTCAACGGCCTTTGCAACGCCTTTCCAAACCGCGTACGCCGTGGGTCAGAAGATCCCAGGACGGAAAGTTGTGGACGATATCCAAGATGTCTCAGCAAACATCCGACACGAGATATACAGGAAAAAGGCACTCTTCAACGAGGTCGTGGATATCATCAAGAGAGTCGCTGCTTTCTTCTTCATTTATGTATTCGTCACGGCGTTCAGGTACCACAACAAATACCTGGATGACATTCAGTATGACAACAAATATGTGACGTCTTACTTCCGGAAGATCGACGCACGTCGTCGGAAACGTGGCCGCAAAACGCTGATGCCATTGAAACGGATGGAGCGGAACGAACTGATCGACACGTTCTACATCGGCTTCACCAAGACTGAAAAGCAAATATTGCTCCGCACTTCAGCCATCCTGGTAGCTGAGCTTCTTTCCGTCTTCATGATATTCATCATTGACTGGATGTTCGCTTCATTCTTAGATTTGCTTCGACGTCATGGATATATCACCATTTACCAGTCAGGGCATCACGACTTCCGCATGATTTACCGCGGCGAAGGCTTCCTCAAGATGATCGCTAACCTGCTCAAAAAGCATCTCAACAAGGAGTTCACGATCCAGCAGGCGGTGGATAACCGTGAGTGCCTTCCACGTCCGACTTTCCTGCCTGTCACCGTCTATTTGCGCGCCTTCTCCCTGTACGCGGCTATCGTCGGCCTCACAGTGTACGAGAGCCTTCTGCAGCGTAGCCGGCGCGCAATTTGCGGCTTCTTCCATCCCAAGAGGGAGAAGCGTCGCGTGCTCTACCTCTACAATGAGACGCTGCGCCGGCGGCGCGGCTACCTGCGCTTCATGCGACACCGAACGCGGCGCGAGGCTCGCAAGAACCAGCTGTCGCAGCAGCTGAGCCTGCTGGCCGCGCTGCGGCTCGAGTGTCCCTCGCTGTGCGGCTGGCTGAGTCTGTGCGCCAGCGCGCGGCGCGACTGTCTGGTCTGCAAGGACACGGAGACGCCGCTGTTCGTGGACTGTCCGAACCCGTACTGCAACTTCTGCTACTGCCACGAGTGCTGGCGCGACATCGGCGCCCGCTGCTACGGCTGTGATCCCGTGGAATCGTCCTCGTCGGACGCCGACACACCGCCGTCCACCGACGACGAGATCTGACGCGTCGCGATGAGAACTGACGCCTCGCGCAGTCGGCCAGCCACGTCTTTTTTGTCAGAACCGTGCGTGGGTGTCCATCTGTCCATGTTTTGTCATTGTTCAATGTGTGGTAACTTGGTTTTGAGCTGAGCTGAGGTAATATGTTACCTTGTCACCCTGTGCTTTGTTGAAATGATTGTGCGACGGAGTGGAGAAATGATAATCAATATTCATCCTATATATCGACCAACATCCGTCCAGGTAGGATAACTTTTCATTTGTGTTGCTTCCAATGCACCCATTTACATGCATTGCAATTTAGCCTAAATCGTTACACCGTTATAGTTTCGCTATATCTATTGAATTTTATTAGCAGGTGGTTTGTGAAATATACTCGACATGAATGCTCTGGTTTTGTGGTTGAACCCGCTTGGAACTGCTAACTTAGATGACGTCAAATCAGTATAGGTATTGGTTGATATTTGCGTTCCAAAAAGTAAGCGCCCAATAGGTAATTGGGTCCTTACACCAGAAACGTAATTAACGTTCTTCAAAAATTGACTTCCCTAAAAAAGCAAAAAAAAAGCAAAAAAAAAAAACAATAGAACACATTAGTGCCATGACTCCAGTTGATCGCTCGAGAAAGAGTCTTATGATCCCAATGGAACCATCGACAAAATCGATGAGCTAGATATTTGATCTCATCAGACATCAGTCATCAGTATGTTATGTATGTAGCGATCGATGCCACATCGGACTCAAAATCAAGGTCCGAGGCCGATGGATCAGATCCCACATCTATTTTTGTTTTTAATTAAATCCCTGCACATTCTGACTCTTATATTCACATAGCGGGCACGGTCTGCACCGCTCCCTGACTTCGCCAGCGACGGCTGCTCCCACCAACAGCAGCCCACCTCCATCAGGGGTCCCATATATAGAGTGCCGCAGCGACTCGAAACCACAGACCCTCACTCTTGACCAGTCATCACTGACCAACGGGAGTCTATCGCTCTGCCAATTCAGCCACGGGACGGATTTCACCATTTTAACGTAAAATGTGTTCGCAAAAGCCATTCCATATCACATTTTCGACAGAGTCCGCAAATGACCTTAAGTCAAAGCAAGACTGCGCAGGAGGTCAAATAGCTAGTGAGAAAGTAAGAGCAGATGCCTGCGAGTCGTTTGGTGCCATTTTATCGCTCTAGCTCCACTTGGAAGGGCCATAAACTGCTGTGCAAATTTGGGCCACGTGACCTTTGCTGGCCTCTGTAGGTCAAACGGCTGGGAGTGCCACCGAATGGCTCGGACTGTGGATTGGCATGTCAGGACCTACATTGTGTGCGAGTTTCAGCTTAATCAGAGGTGTCCTGAATCTGGGCTGAATCCGGGCTGTGACGCATGGAGTGTCGTTTATTTGGACATTTTGCCCTGCCGAGGTCAAACGGGGTCACATATCGAGAAGCGGTTTTTACGAAAAGTTACTACGGCATATGGGCTACCCGATGATGTGCTTTGATTTGGAATTCGGTCAATCCCTCTACTCGAGAACTGCTGTGCAAGTGTATTTTCGGCATAGCCCACAAATGACCTTAGGTCATAACATGAACTTGAGAGGTCAAATGGGTATTGGGAAAGTAAGATTAGATGCTGGCGAGTCGATTGGTGCCATTTTAGCGCTCTAGCTCTACTGGGTGGGCCACAATCTGCTGTGCAAATTTGGGCCACGTGACATTTGCTGACCTCTGTATGTCAAACGGCTGAGAGCATGGGTGGAGAACCTGCCCCGGCCACCCCGGCCGTGGCCGGGGTAACTTTCAGCCGACCCCGGCGCGGCCGGGGTAACTTTTTCCACTTTTGTAAATCCTAAAAGCTGTCTCCATACGAAAAAACTGCCATCTATAAAAGTGTCTCCCATTATTTTTATCCACCTTGAAAAGTTCTTGAAAATTTACTTTACTTTCATTTTGGAGCTTATGTTTTTAAGTCTTTTCATCGCGGAGCCCGACATGTTTCATCAAACAGAAGTAAATCATATTTAAGGGCCGTTATCGTAAGATGGCACTGTAATAACATCACAAGACAGGACGAGGGTAATATCAGTGAGATGGAAGGACGAGCTGCTGGGGCTCAAGGCTCCCCCAACTTGACCCGCACCAGGGTGGTGGCCCTATCGTAACACGTTGAGTCGAGAGGTGGGCTTTTCACGCTCCTTCTAACTCGGCTACTGGGCTACGAGGCGAGAAGCGGAACGACGTTTGAAAGAGCGACAAACGTGATCAGAGAAATCTGGTCATGTTTTAGGCAAGCTCAATGGCAAAATCACCATAGATCATCAAAAGCCAAATTTCTCTGATTTTAGCGTTCTCCGACAACTTTTCTCACAGTTCATGAACATAACGGAGGTTAACCCGCGCCCGGCTGGGGGTCCTGGATTTCCACGCCCTGCTGGGGGGGGGGGGGTGTTTGAACACCCCCCTTGTAACTCGGCTCCTGGGCCACGTAGCGATACGCGGAAGGCGGTGTTCGAAAGAGCGTCAAAAATAATGACGAAAGCACTTCTGTCAATTTTTTGGTCAGGTCAAAGTTTAGGTCACCAAAGGTCATTGAAGGCAAAATTTCGCCGATTTCCAGGTCGAATGTCGAAAATTTCCAAGAAGCCAACGCATAACTCGGGAACCAATAGAGCTACAGCGCCGCGGAAAAGCGCATTCGATAGCCCTATTAACGCCCTTTCTGAGTAATTCTCTCAGATTTGACCTAACGTCAACGGTTTTGCCTGCAGGGGGCAAAAACTGCAAAAATAGCCGATTTTTTCGGAAACAGTTTTTCTGCAATAACTTTTGACCCAAGCCGTGTACGAGCTTACTTTTACCGGCATCGTGTTCCTCTTGGCAAGACGCATCGAATGAACTATAACTTGACCTTGAAAGGTCAACTTGAAAATTTGACCTCAGGTCAAGGTCATGACCTGACCGGCAAGGGTCATGTTGCATATCAGTCGATCCGTATCGTCGAGCTGAACACATCTAAGGCGTTTTCATCGCTCTAGCATGCCTCTATCAAAAGTTATTTGCGAAAAACTGTTAGATACCATTCATGACCTAAGATGACCTCAGGGCATAAACAAGGGTCACGGACACCATTTTCATGTTCAGTGTATCTAAACCACTTGTAATTCGGTGTTTGGGATTGTTTATAATGTCTTTTGTCCAAAAGAGGCGCATTTCAATTTTCTCCCATTGACTTATAATGGGGAGGTCGCAAAATTGACCTGACCTTAGGTCATCGATATCGAAATTCTGAGATATACATTTTGTACATGCTATTGCTCTTGACAATCGCTAAAAGTTTCAAAGCGATCGGTCACTCGGTGTAGCTATGACAGACATTGAAACTTTTTATGAGGTGAGGTCACTTCAAGTGACCTGGTGACCTGACCTTGAATGACCTTGGTCTGACATTTTCACAACATGTGTAGAATTGATGTATGATAAGGTGTACCAAAAACGGCGGCGCTCCGCGCCGCCGTTTTTGAGATATTCGCGAAAAACCACAAGGGGGGGGGGGTGTTCAAACACCCCCCCAGCAGGGCGCGGGTTAAACACTGCATACAAAACATTCGATTACTCGTTTAAGCCTCGGTCGCGAATAATATTTCAGGTGCGAGCTCAAATCAATATTCAATAAGAGCCAAGAGGGTCAAAACGGTCAAATTTGACATTTTGTTTTGTGTGGGAAAGGTTGCAACTTCCACGGAATAAGTTTTGCAAACGGCATGATTGCATTTTTAGCACGGTCATCCAGCAAATTTGACCTGATGACCTGACCTATACCACTAGGTGACATGCGTCCGAAATTTTAAGTCGTGTTGCAAAATTGTTGTTACAATTACGAAATCTTCCGCTCCTGCGTGCAGCAGTTTTCCCTAAAAACGTACAAGCGGCAGACATCCATTATTCTATGCCACAGAATAGGGGTTTGTTGATAACCGTTGACAAATATTTGAGCATCATTGTCTTTCTGACTTTCGGTAGCCGGCCGGGGTAACTTTTTCAAACATTCTCCACCCGTGGCTGAGAGTGCCACTGAATGACTCGGACTGTGGATTGTGCAATGCCGGGCATGTCACGCACGGGCGTAGGAACGTCATGAAAAGTGGGTGGGCCACCCTGTCAAGGGGCCTCCTATTTTCAGGGGCCTCCAACTTTTGCCTCGTCCTGCTGGCTGCTTTCAAATAGGTATGACCTCCAAAACTAGCTTCTGAGATCGGGCAGATGTACCCAGGGGCGTAAGCGCTTAAGCGAACAGAGCGGAAAGTCCGCACCATTTTTTAAACTTATTCCCCCTCCGATTTTTTTTTAGAATCTATTTGCCGCAAACGGCGCATGACCCCTGAAAACCCTTACACAAATGTCTTCCTCGTTTCCCAGGTGCCCCCATTAGCTTCATAGGCGCCCTCTTTGGCATATAAGCGCCCTATGTATAGTCATCAGAGACATCCCTATATGTCCCACAGTCGCATACAATGTGCGCTTATCATAGGCGTCTCTCTTTTATGGACACTTGAAGCCTGAAGGCGCCTCTCTTTGCCATGCCGGCGCCCCTGTTTGTTATGAATGCACTCCCATGGCATTGATCAATTGCATTGCAGACCCCTATTGCATGTGGACGCCCATATATGTAGGCCTCGCAGGCGCCCAGCTCTTTCGCATTGAGGCGCCGCTATGGGCATCATAGGCGCCCCTCTATTGCACGTAGGTGCCCTACTGTCTGAGAACCGCTCCCTTTTGGCATGCAGACGCCCACCTTTCGTACGGAGGAGCCGCTGTGGTTCTTAGAGACGGCATGGTGCTCCCAGACGCAGATGGGGCTCTCGGAGTCGACAGTGTGGGACCTTCAGTCGTTGATGGGTGCCTGCCAGATGTGGACCCTCGGAGACGCCGGTATGGGGCCCTCAGAGATGCCGGTATGTGGCCCTCAGAGACACCGGTGTGGAACCCTCAGATACTTCAGTGTGAAGCCCTTACAATTGCTGGTGTGGTGCTATGAATGCGCTGGCTTAACCCTCGCACGACCAGGCCATTTCTCATAACACGAACGACCAGGGGGGGGGGGTTGTTACGACCCCCCCCTGGCGTTTCGAAACGGAAGGTCGTAGAGCTTAGCGGAAAAAACCAACGGATTGCTCTCAACGAGATCTCGCGATTGGTGGTATATTTTTTGGTCCTAGGTCAACATTTGACCTACTTATGACCGGTCAAAGGTCAAATTTTCCGAAAAAATCAAACTTTTTCAATTTTCCGCGGCGATTGCGGCAAAACGGTGGGAGATATCGACTTGAAACCTTCGCTATCGTGTTCCTTGATCAATTCTCTATCGTTTGGTATGTATTTCGCTTCCCTAGCTCTAAAAATGGCGCGTTGGGAGCGCCGGAAGTCGGCAAGGTCACAGTCGGCGGCAGAAATTCGAAAAATCAAAATTTAAATTTTTGAAATCTGATTGTATTTTTGGATTTGGGAGGTCCATTTGCTCCCTATAGAAGCTAATATTGCTGCATATTCCCATTAAGGTGACAAGAATTAGCAAAATAGTGGTTCGGGCGCTTTTCAAAAATAGTACCGGACGCTGTTCCTCTTGTGACGTCATAGCTCCGTGACCTGACCTGACCCGGTCAATTTTCTTGCACCACACGATAGCCAATGCTTGCCCCAACATGCATGGGAAGTTTCATCATGATCCATCAAACAATGTGGGTATCACCGGCAGAAAACCTAGGGATTCGGCGCACACGTTTGGTAACTGTCGGCCGGAGGCTGTACCTCTTATGACGTCATAACTCCGTGACCTGACATGACCCGATCAATTTTTTTTCGGCAAAAGATGCGCAAAGGTTGCCCCAGAGGGTATTGAAAATTTCAGCCCGCTACGACAAGCCGTTTAGCGTGCACTTCGAAAAAAACCTCAGGGGGGGGGGGGAGTTGATACAACCCCCCCCCCCTAGGCGTTCTAGGGTTAAATCCCTCAGAGGCCGGTACATGGACATTAGAGCTAAGTGAGAGCTTGTGTGGTGCCTTCAGTGGCCTTGTGGGGAGCCGTTAGACATCAACATGGTGCTCTCAGGAGCCGGTGAGTCCTCAGAGTCACCGGTGTGGGGCCTTCAGAGCTCGGAGATACTGGTGTGGGGCCCTCAGAGGTGTCGGTGTGGGTCCTTCAGATGTACCTATAGAGCCTTGAGATGCACAGGTGTGGTGGCCCACAGAGGCGCCGGTGTGGGGCCCCCAGAGCCACCGATATAGGGCCCTAAGAGACACTAGTATGACCCTCAAAGGCGCCGCTGTGTGGCACTCATTAACACTGGTGTGGAGCCATCACAGGCGGGTGGAGCCGTAAGAGGCCGGAAAGGGCCCTTAGATGCCTACAAGGAGCCTTCAGAAGCCGGCGTGGCACCCTTATGGGGATAAGCGTGTCTACTTAGGAGCCCTTGAGGTGCTCTCATGAGCTCTGTGGGGCCCTACCGAGCCGAAATATGGCCACGGCCAGTTGCCGCCGCATGGCTCCTCGGACTATCATTCTCAGGGGCCTCGTCTGCCTAGTTTGAATAGAAGGGCCTCTCAGACCATCAGTCTCATGGGCCTCCTCTGGCTAGTATGAATAGAAGGGCCTGTTAGACCATCAATCCTAGGGGCCTCCTCTGGTTAGTATAAATAGAAGAGCCTCTCAGACCATTAATCTCAGGGGGCTCCTGTGGACAGTATAAATAAAAGGGCCTATCAGACCATCAGTCTCGAGGGGCCTCCCTAGAAAAGTGTAAATGTGGATAGAGGGCCCCCTCAGATTCATTAGGAGTGGACCTCTCTGACTATCAGTCTCAGGGGCCTCTTGTGGCCAGTATGAATATAAGAGCCTCTCAGACCATCGGTCTCAGGGGCCTCTTCTGACTGGTGTGGATAGAGGGCCCTCCCAGACCACCGGTTTCAGGGGCCTCCAGTGGCAAGTTATATGAACAGAAGGGCCTCACAGCCATCAACCTCGGGGGCCTCTTCTGACTGGTGTGAATATGAGGGCCTCTCATACCATCAGTCTCAGGGGCCTTCTCTGCCTAGTGTGAATATAAGGGCTTCCCAGGCCATCAGTCACAGGGGCCTCTTCTGACTATTGAGGATAGATGGGCCTCCTCTGACTAGTGAGGGTAGGGGGCCTCGGCTAGACCGCCAGTGTCAGGGGCCTATTCTGACTAGTGTGGATGGAGGGGCCTCCCAGACCACCAGTCTCGGACCTCTGACTAGTGTGGATACAGGGGCCTCCCAGACCACCAGTGTCAGGGGCCTCCCCAGACCAGTGTGGATATTGGGGCCTCCTCAGATCCACTAGGGCCTCTCAGGCCATCAGTCTCAGGGGCTTCGACTGACAAGTGTGAACAGAGGGCCTCCTTGGATCCATCACGGCCCCTTGGAGTCCGTGCATGGGGATTCGTGGAACTTATTTTTACCGAGTTTGTTTATTCTGGAAGGTGACGACGTCCTCTCAAATCGAGACGAGGGGCCTCGAGTAAAAAGTGGGTGGGCCAAAACACATGGTTGGCCCCCCCCCCCCCCCCACCTCGAAAAGTGGGTGGGCACTTGCCCACCTGGCCCCCCCCCCCCTGTTCCTACGCCTATGATGTCACGGCTTACATTGTGTGCGAGTTTCAGCTCGATCTGAGGTGTCCCGAATCTGGGCTGAATCCGGGCTGAATCTGGCTGAATATGGGCTGTCTTGATGAACATTTCCGTATATATTTAATCTGAAAAAGCGAGGTTACGAACCGACAACCGTGCTTCCTTTCGCATTCTTTTCACCGTGACTTTCAGAAAAGAAGCCTCACAGCCGTCTATGTAGCTTAGTATTGGAAGATGTCTAGGTATGTAGGCTTGCATGTATGTAGATGAGGCTTATGCGTCACATTACTTTTACGCACACGGCACAGCATAGCATAGAAAATAGCCGCACTACGCACAATAGTCAGTTAGGTACATACAGAAACATATCCCTGGAAACATATTACCTAATTTTAGAAGAAAAACAAGCGCAGGTCTGTATGTTCCTAGCTCGTTTTACCACCATATCCGAGCCAAACCAGTTGTGCCGTGGCTATTTTGCCGCTGGCAGTGCATTTGCCTACCCACAGTAGCGACGGTGCGTTCATCTTCTACGAATAATACCTGGAGCCAGGTGCGGCCGCAGGATGTAATTTCACCCCTCTGGCCCTCCCGTCGCTCGGCGTGGGTTATTGCGGCTAGTGGTTATCCGCTAATGTCCGGTTGACTGAGCCGCGGGCTGACCCTTCTTCTCCCTGGTATTGTGTGTCGAGTGAATATCATCTCGTCAGGTGGGCCTAATGTGTATCGTGCTTCATGAGATACAATCACAGGAAACGCTGCGACGCCACACATGCGTATCGGTGTTGACGGATCCTGGCTTATGCATCATTCAGATGCCCTTTTTCGTTGACCGTTTCCCGCATTGGCATTTTCACGGTGCACTGACGCAATAGGGGAGGGTGTTGATCGCACGCCCCAGCCGAACGGACCCTGATCGAGCTATAGAGCTTGTCGAAAAAGTGCATTGCTTGTGATAGGAAGAAGCCCACGATGCCCGCGATGTCCTCGAAAGCACACCCAGTTAGTCGTTAGCGTCCACAAGAGCCAACTGCGCCAGATACGTCTCGCTCGGGGGCAGCACAGCTCAGGGTGGTCTCAGCGCCATTTGAGCCGCGGGGCGACAATCGCGGCGCGGTAAGCTGCAGCTAGCCGTTCGTTAGCCGCGCAAAGCGGCCGGCCGGCACGCTAATGCTGCCAAATGAGCTGTCCCTTGACGACCGTTGTCGCCAGTATGGGGGGAATGGATGGAAGGTTGGGATGGGTGTTAACGCTTATCGGCTGCAGAAGAAGTAACAGAGGTCGAGAGCTGGAAACTTGGAGGTGACGAGGTGCCAAGCTAGCTTGCAACTCATCAAATGAAACTTCCGTGGTTGTTGAGCATGTTAGGCGCTCGTTCGATGTTAGGCGTTTTTAGGCGACTGCAGTTTTATCCACCGTGCTGCTACAAATCTATTAGTGACACTACGATTACGTTGGAGCGTGCCTGGATGCATACGAGCTCTGGCTACCTTCTGCGGTCTCTTAGCATCCCTCACGGGGCCGCAGTCCCACCCCTGCCACTGAACGTGTCCCACAGACCGCCACACAGTGTCAGAAAATAAAACTCTGGAGGGCTGTTCAGCCGACAAAGACAGCACATTATTGTTCGTGCCGAGTGTCCTTTGTCCTATTCAGACTGGTAGTGGTTCACTCCCGCGGCGCTCGTCCAGGAACCAGTCGCGGGTATTATAAACGTTATTGGAGGAGAGCGTGCAGTTCCATTGGTGTATTGTGAGCAGCACGCACCGTGCTAACTGTCGCAATTGCCGCGGCAAACCAATTTGGACTGTAATGTGAGGTACCTAAGCATACGCGGTGTCACGGAGGACATTATGAATGGCTTATTTAATATGATGACCATTATTTCCATCAATCGCCAATTTTCCTCGAAAGTAACATAGTCTTGATAACAATGCGATCACTACTCCGGTAAAGAAATCAGCACGAGCGTAATTGACATACTCGAGTAGACGATATGAATGGTTTAGAGATTTCCTAATGCTAATCAACACAGCTAAGAGCGTGCGACAGGTATGATAGATATTATTAGCTCAGAAACCCCGCTTTATCTGGTAACCTAGGCAAATTGCAGTCATCAGACATGAGACTGTGGCGTCGCATTCATCACTTTACCCTCCAGCTCACACACTTCATGCTAAATTGAATGACAAATACCGTAAACTTCAACATCGTGTATAACCAATAGCCACACAACGAATTCATGGAAAGCTTCTACATTTTAGAGGCATTGCTACTCAAAAATCCGGTAACACTTGAAATAAGTATTCCAAGAAGAAACACTAGGGCGCAAACACACGTCACCCGATCCAAGGCAAGCATCATATGAAGCAAAACAGCTTCAAGCCACCGTGACTGATAACAGGCCTTCCTCACATGAAATAAAACAAACCGCGCCACATAACGAACAGTTTTCGGCCACAGAATATCACATCACAGGAAATCCTCATCATCAAAATCCTCCTCAGTGGCAAAGCGGACCCTCTTCTGTGTCTCGGCCGCTGGCTGCGCGCCCCCGGCAGCGGCCATCTCCTCTCTCAGCTTCTGCAGGCCCGTGCGGAAGTCGGTGGTGCTGCGTTTGAGCGGCTGTGGCCCGCGGTAACTGAGGCGGCCCGGCGCGGCGGCGCGGCCCCACTGGCGCCGACTCGCGCACGGCGCCGGCTCGGCCAGCGGGCTGGACGGCGGGGGACGCTGCTGCGGCCGCACTGAGGCCAGGGGAGGCGCAGAGGGAGGTGGTGGAGGCGGTGGAGGGGCGGCTGGAGCGGCTGTCGGCTGCCGGCGGGTCATCATCAGAGCGCGGCGCGCGCCCCAGCGACGCTGAGCCAGCTGCGCACGGGACGGACCACCGCCGCCACCGCTGCCTGCTGAGGCTGTCGTAGCGGCTGCGGAAGGCGCAGGAGACGTTACACTGGGCCTCGCAGCAGCGCTATCAGCCATCGGGTCATCAGACTGATCCACGTCTGAGGCCGACCAGTCCTGCGGCAGGTCCAGCTCCTCGTACCCGTCATCAGCACAGGAAGCTTCCACACCGGCATCACTGTCAGTTACTATGGGAGTCTGACGAGGCCTAGGTTCATTCATCGCCGCCGTCGTGTGTGTTTTCTCCCGCCACGTCGATCTCGGCGGTGCGGTGTTCACCACAGGTGCCGGTGTTGGCACTCGGCCGGGGCCGGTCTCCTCCCTGAATGCCCCAGAGGTGGCGCAGTGGTACTGGCCGGCACACCGGGCCGTCGCGCGCATCCGCTGCTTCATCTTCTCCATGTTGTTGAACCAGAGCAGCTGCTCGAGCCGCTGCAGCTCGGTCGACATGGCCGTCGCCGCCGAGCGCAGGCACGTCGTCTCGTCCTCGGCGTCTCCGATGTCGGTGAGGAGCTGCTGCACGTGCCGGCCGTCCCGCTGCTCCTGCACCAGCCGGCAGAGCGTCTGCTGCAGCTGCTGCACGCGCACACGCACCTCCAGCGGCTGCTGCAGGCTCCGACGCCGGGCTTCGATCTCGCTCTCAGTGTCCGCCAGCTTCCGCAGCTCCTGCTGCAGTATTACCTCGTGCTTCTGTAACTCTTTTATAGAGCAAGAAAGCTGCTCTGTGAGCGCCTTTGTTTTAGATAATTCGCTCAGCTTCTCTTGTTTAGCTTCGGTGCGATAAACCCCATTCAAGCCGAATCTGTTCAGGTGCTGACCGGCGCTCGTGCACAGTTGATCCACCTCTGACTGCACCTGGGTCCTCACCGTCGCCAGCTCCGTCTCCGCCTCCTGCAGGTCGCGTCTCACGCGCTCCCGGTACTCCAGCACCTTCTTCAGTCGCACGTCCTGCAGCTGCGCGCTGGAGCTCACAGCCGCCAGCTCCTGCTCGGCGCGCTCGTGCTCCTCGCCGAGACCCAGGTGCTCCTTTCTCAGAGTGGCGGCGGCCGCCTGTTGGCGTTCGTTCTCAGCACCGACAGCCCGCAGCCGCTCCTGCAGCTCCTGTAACAGCTTCTCCGACGAGCGCACTTCCTCCAGGAAGGCATCCACGTCACCCTCCATCGCCGCCAGGTGCTAGCGGAGGAGCTAGCGTAGCATCTGCGACGACGGTGACGGGAACCAGAACAGCAGTAGAGCAGACGTCACACTAAGGTTTTCCAACCAAGGAGAGGCGCTATACCCGGAGGCGAGTCTTTCTAACAAAACCTAAATAAACCTAACCTAGCCTAACCTAACCTGGCCTAATCTACAACCTACAAACATACCCTACAATCTATAAACCTACAGCGCCTCTCCTCGGTTGGAAAATTTATGTGTCAGTCTTCAGTCACAGCTTGTATATAAATGTGTCAGTGTAAAAATTGTGATGAGATATAACCTTCAGCAGGGACTTTTGAAGTGGCTGTGAAATAATCTATTTCATATTATTAACCTCTTTTGCACCTTCTGAATGCAAGACAACAGTTCTAACCAAGGCCGTAGGTATAATACATACTTACTGTTTCAACTTCAGAGTCCAAGGATGTAGTCGAAACAATCATCCCGCAGCCCCTCAATCCCCAACATTACGGGGAGGTGTAGTGTATCCGAGGAAGTGTCCGGGAAGTGTATCCGAACAGAGAAACCGAGAGAAACGGGCTTCTGTAATTGAATTCGGCCGATCTATCAATTATGCCGCAATTCACGATTAAAACAGCGCCTTACAGGCGATTTAATATGCACATACCCATTGAAAATATATAGAAACTCACATTTGAGGTAGAAAATGTACGAAAACTCCGCAAACTGGAACCACAATTGATTTATTTCTGCGTGATTGTTTGTAAACAACACTCATATGACATTTGACCTTGAATATTTGAGCGATAAAAGATGTTGCAAAATGATATCAACATTAATTTACAGTGTGAATTCTTGTAAATACATGGAATTCATACCTATTTTATTGCATATTAGTCATTCAATACTTTTCGAAACGCAAGGCAAGTGGAATATGGCTTCAGCTTTCTCATACAATATTTCCAATCTGCATTTCTACCCCCACAGCGGTCGTGGCCGAGTGGTTAAGGCGTCTGACTAGAAATCAGATTCCCTCTGGGAGCGTAGGTTCGAGTCCTACCGACCGCGTGCTTTTTCAAGTTCGCCCAGCGAATTGTTGACCCATCTACCAATTACACCACACACGTCACATGATATGCATAAATGTTTGCCACAAATGTTATCCCGACTCCCAACTGTAATCCCAATCCATCTCCTTAAGCGGAATGGGTCTAGGAGTAGGATCATTCAATCATGAATGAAACGGGAAAATCCTGGACAATATAATATGGTGACATGAATTATTCATCAGTAGGTGTGCTTGACATTACAGCTCCGTAGCCGAAACCCCATTTAACAGCGGAAAGTCGTCTTAAAATATTAACACGCATACCCCTAACAATTTCATTAAGTGCTAAACCGCTACCCAAGCTGAAAAGGAAAGTGCAACACAATCGATTTGAGGAATGGGAATGCTCGAGCAAGATAGACATCGAATTCAACGGAAAGGGCGAGTGACAAGGCGGACATCGCCAGAAAATAACAAGCCAATAACAGCAACTGAGCGTTAAATACGTCAGTGGGGATGAATATATTCAAGACACAGCGTACCGTTTATCACATAACACAAGAATCGGGACACTAAACCATACATTGTTCGAATACTCTCTGGCAACTGAATTCAGCTGAACGCCGGCGTCAGTTCAAATCAAAGTAGCTCGTGTCTAGAATAAACTTATATAGTCGGACAGTGACTGAGCATAGCCGCGTGGACAACTCGTCTAAAAAAGTTTAGATGAAAACTGTAACAAATAGTATGTGATAAGTATGGCATATCAAATTCTATAACTTCCAGGATATGTGAAGATATACTGTAAATACAAAACAAATAGATACTTCATGCCTTCAAACAATGCGTTATACTGAGCATTCTTACTTTGTCCTTATGGATTTAATGGTGCAAAAGGACAAATGCTTATGTAGATTAAATCAATAACACATAAGATGGCAGCTTAAGCCGACATGTTTTGTACCAGCACCATACAAGGGAAATGTAACACACAATCGATTACCACAACTGAATATTGTGCCGAAAACAATACGCTACCTTCACGCCAAAAGTACACTCGGCCATAAACCGAAGCTCGAACCAATCCTAGGACACACAGGCTGAGAAAATGACTATCACAAAGCCATCACTTCCACACCAATGCCTATCGCCCCGAACACGCACTCGCTGAATCTGAGTTTCGCTGTATCTTTCTCACCTACCGGCTACTCCCTCCTAGTCTGGAAGTTTGCCGCCAGATGCCACCAGCATCAGTGTAGATGGCAGCACTGTACGGCGGCAGCTGAAGCGGCGGCTATGCGTCACTGACTTTCACGATCTGTTTGCCGATGTTACCGCCGGACATCATGGAACAGAACGCCTTGCCGGCGTTCTCGAGACCGTCCTCCTCCGTCTCAAACACCTGGAAGGAAGTGAAGAACCACCTGATTCAGCAGATCCGTCAGGTAGCGCTGAAAAACCGCAGAACACTCCACGTGCACCGCTAGCCCGACCGGACCCAGTTGGGAAGGGAAGGTCCGGCTTAATTCGAGGACCCGCGGCCCATGAAAACAATAAAAAAGCTCTATGAACGTTATCGGAATAAAAAAGGCTCTATGTACGTTATCGGATCATACAATTTATCGGGATAACCAAATAACAACAAAACTTATCATTCAAGCTCCTTTCAAGACCCATCCACAACCACTACAAAAACGGCTGCCTTCCGTCAGCCGTGTCCCAATCTGAACTCGCCAGCTGAGCCCATACACCCACCCACCCACCTGCTCACTCCATACCCACCCGCACCCCATACCTTGATGGCTCCGGCGGCCAGCCATCGGGCCAGGCGCGCCACGCCGTCAGCGAACCGGTCCTGATACTCGAGCACGAGGAACCTCTCGCGAACGATCCCTCGCTCGTCGACCAGCCGCTGCACCTCGGGCCGTAGCGGCGGCGGGTAGGGTGCGTCCGTGTTGTAGGCGGATATCTGGCCGCACAGAACCACCGCGCTGCCGGGAGCCATCTGAAACGGAGGGGGGGGGGTCAGCGGGGTGAGAGTCTGCTGATAAGATCCATACCAGAAATAAATCTGCTTCTACATTTTGGGAACGGGGCAAAGAAAGTTCCTACATGAAAATGAATCTTTTCGGAAACAAGAAATACGCTTCAAGACACAACATGCATCAAACTGGGAACGCTTAAAAAAAAAAAATGGTACGAGCAACGTCAACAGCGTAAAATCACGACACAATTCGATCCATGCCTCAAAGCTTCAGCTAAACTTGCATCCGCCTCAAACAAGCGCCAAGCCCTTAAAGTCAATCAAGACTAAAACATTACCGATCACGCCCGAGCATCTCCCAACTTACTCTTTCCCTCCCTCTCCCCACCCTGACCCCGGTGACCCCTCCCCTCCATCACGCCTACCTGCGCTATCACGGCGTCGCTGATGGGTCCTCCGACGTTATCAAAGTAGCTGTGCACGCCGTCCGGGCAGAGCTCTGCCAGCCGGGCCGAGACGTCCTCCGAGCGGTAGTTGATGGCGGCGTCGAAGCCGGCCTGCGTCGTCAGGAACTGACACTTGGTGTCCGAGCCACAGATCCCCACCACCCGGTCGGCGCCCTCCAGTCTGACGGGGAAAAGGGAGTTATTGTCATTGACAGACAGTCAAGTCTATGGGGACAGCGAGGAGTGTGTCCAGTTTATGAGAAAGAGCACCAGACTATTTATGACACTCAAGTTCTCGGGTGGGCAATAAGGACGACAGAACTGACGGCAGCACAGGAGCGCCCCAATGGCAGCCGTTTCCAACACGAGTTACTAAGTCAACAAGGCAAACGACGGTAGTAAAACGACAGATCATAAAAGGACCTAAAAAGAAACAACCAGAGCAAATTCTTACAACACGAAAGCAATAGCACACAAATCTCAAATCCACGCCCACTTCCTAGTATCAAATGCCCTCCCAAAGAAGCCAGGGGAAAACAGTGACATCTGATGACACTAGGTCTTCCTGCACCCACGGGACACACACTACCAACACCTGCCCGACGCCTCCTACCCACGCGTTGGCACTATGCACCTACCTGCCGATTTGGCCGGCAATGTGTCCACACGCGCCGGCAGCCCCGCTCACTACCAGGGTGCGCCTGATGCTGCCATCTGTGGGCAGTGAGCGCAACTGGGAGCGCTCCGTAATACCGAACAGCGCCGTAAGTCCGACCAGGCCCAGGCACGAGATAGGCAGAGACAGTCGCTTACCGACCAGACGCTCGTCCACCTGGAGAGTGGAAAAGAGGGAGAGAGGGGCGGGTCAGTGTCAGCGCAGATCGTCGCGCTAGCGTGGTTCGTGACAGCAATGTCGGCAATGGGCGGCCCATCAAAATCCAGTTCCCAGCTGGGGATGTTACACGACCATACTTTGATTATTACGAAAAGAAACCGCCCACACCACACCACAAGAACAATCTTTTGAGGGAATATAAAGGAGAAAAAACCTGATTGGAAACCATGAAACATACCAAAATATTAAATTCCATATTTTTTTTCGTAGAGCTGCGTGACTCATATTCTACAGACCTTCATGATCTTGTCGGCCTCGATGGTGAAATAGAGTTTCCAGGGCCACTCGAAGAAGCCGGACATGACGATGTCCCCGGTGCTGAAGCCGTCGTCGTTACTGCTGAGCACCTTGCCCACGCCGCCCAGGCCGGGGATCGCCTGCCCCAGTTGCCATGGCAACAGGTACTCGGCGCCCGTGGACTCGTTCATCTGACATCTCTGCAAGAGTCGATAGCGGGTCTAGTTGGGAAACATCGTATGGGCGGCGGTCTCCATAGCAACCAGAGCGCTCGACAACCACAACACAGCTTTACACGTGAACGATATCACGGTATAGCCTCCGGCCCTACCGCGCTGAAAGCGTGCCAAATGAGAGCGAAATAAAACCTATAGGTGCTAAGCGTAGGAGCGATGATATTGCGGTAGGTATGTAAATGGACACTGGTTAGTGGTTAGGCAGCTGGGCTAAGCAGTAAGCTCATGAACGAGCGAGGATATTCCCCTGGTCAGCTGAAAACTAAGCTAAACTGGGGGTATTAAGATATCATGCTCGTACATAACCCAGCGACAGTTTGATAGAGCGGGGAACGGCTACAGCTGAATAGAACGCCCGTCCGTGACCAGAGGTCTCACACACAGTTGAAGAACATCTCCGTCGGCCGTCACACCCGTACCTGAACGTCCCCGTCAAGTCAAACCCGTACCTGAGCTGGGTCCACGGACAGGTAAAGGTTCTGTACGAGCACGTGACCCGGCGGCGGGTCGGCCGGGTACTCGCAGCTCTCGTACCGGAAGTTGTCCTCGGCAGGTGCGCCGTTGACACCTGGTGCAGAACAGGTAGGGCGTATGTGATACGTAAGACGCAGGAGCATGCCAGGTGGCCACAACTGTCTGTCCCAGAGGAACTAGTGAAGTGAAGTCTGTGAAAGTGTTAAGATATCGCCGACGGTCCTGTCATTCAGCAAACCAAGGTCAAACCAGGACCATTGGCCTATGTCTTCAAATATTGGTCATAAACAAATGGTCAACACTCACCTGGGGGCTTGGCGAACACCACCTGGTAATTCAATAGCTTCATGACAAATGCAGGCTTGTTTACAGCAGTTGGAAATTATCTCATACAGTATCTATGGGGAAATAGATTTAGAAGTAAGTAATACAGAAATGAATGGAGAGAC